AGTCTCAACTCCTGGGAGGATTCAGATGCACCCTCGAGCCTCCATTGCTTCGCACCCAATTGGAGGAAAGATAGCTGTAATTACCAGTTCGTTAGCACCACCGGAGTGCCACATCACATAGCAAAAGCTCCACCCAGAGCTGAGCTGAAAAGTTGCTGGTGGTGGTGACAGTGGTTTTGGAAGACAGAGGATGCTGCTATGCTGTATATTGTTCAAAGCAGCATTGTAGGCCAACATAATAAATTAGGAGGCATTAATTTCAGGAAAGCCCATGTATATTCAAGAACAGAAAGTCTAATTTGACTATTTTAGTGACAACACTTTCTGACTCCTCTCATATTTTCTTCCCTGAGCATAAGCAATGATCTCGAGTTTCTTTCCTATCTCCAGCAAAACAAAGCAAAGAGAACCTGCTCTGGAATCTTCTTTCATAGTGTTAACTACTTAAATACTTGCTGATTTTGACTGCATTGAGGCTAGGGCAATGTCCAACTGGGCAGCCAATCTATCTTTGTATTTAGCACTTTCTAGATAAGAAGAGCACATACTGACACTTGATGAGCCCTGCCCCATGCTGGTGACTGATATGCCTTGCTCTTCTTTGCCTGCTGCTACAGGACTCCCCCGTGGGACTGCCTGTCACATTACCTGCAGGCATTTCAGGAGTTCTGCCTTTTTACTTCTACGGCCTTTCATTCCATCAATTATGCTCCTCTTCCTTTTGTGTATGAAATATTTTCCTTAGACCAGCATCTTTAAAATGCACTACTAGATAGCTCTAGATTGAAAACATTCTAAGAGACCCCATTTATCTGATCAGTACATTAGCAATTTCTCCACCTGCTGTGTGTTCGGGTCATTAAAGGTGCCTGCCCTTGGTTAATGGAATCTGGGATGGTTTAGTGGAAACACTGACACAACATCCTGTAAGTTGGTGTTATAATGGAGTATCTGTGAACACCACGAATCTTACAAACACCCTGCTTAATGGTAGACACACTGGTTAATACTTAGTAGAGCTCTGGTTACAGGAATATTTGCAGTTTAGCAGTAGCAGCCCGATTTATCACCTTTATATTATGACCAAACTGATGATAAATCAGCCCCATTCCCCTTAATCTGTTCTCATGTTGGCAATGCCAGAATTGGCCAAACTGGCAAACATGAGAATCAGAAAATGATTTAGAAAAGCCATGCAGAAACAGTAGAGCACATTTATGATCAATACATCACATCTGCTCTCCGTGCTAAATGACAGCATGAATCATCAAGTACTGCAACTGTATTAAATGTGTTATTAATTGAAGTAAAGCCATCAAAGAAGAAGAAAAAGTTAATTAAGGGATGCTAGCTCCGTTCCTGATTTCTTAAGGCATGGGAGTACTGTCGATGCTGCATTTGCACTTGTTACCTCAGAATTAGCAGAAAGCAGTGAAGGAGATGTCTTTCACATCACAGTCATCTTCTGCAAAGCCAGAAAACACGTCAGTTGATGAACGAGCTGCAAGAGAAGCTTGAAACACAAACACAGAGCAGAGTGGGAATTCCTTCCTAAGGAAGGGTGGGGGCCGAGAGCCTTCCAGTGGCAACTCTCATGTGTTGTTTTTTATTTCTATGAAGTAACAGATTCAATTAAACACATAACACAACAAATGCTTTCCTTACAAACCAAAGCAACTTTGAGATTCTTAGGAACTGTGTGAGTCAAGAGTCAGCGTAGGTGCTGGGGTTATCAAGAAAATAGGGATTTGTTCTCTCTACTGCCTGTACAGTACTGCTCTGAAAAGGGACAACCTGAAATTCCAGGAAATTCCAAAGCTCTTTTGGAAGTGAAAATACCGAGATTTTGGCATGTAAGAGTACATCAAACAAAATAAAGAACCATCGCTGATAGCAATTACTATGTGAAATTAAATTCACATAATTTCACAGGATCAGATGAACAAGACCTGCACAGGAACACTAAGAGAGAGAATTATGTCTTTTATCTTTTTGTCACACTGCAAGGGCCCTTACACAGATTGCTTTGCACAGAGGAAAGCAGACCTGGGTAGAAGTTGCAGCATAAGGGCTCAGAAAGTCATCTTTTCAGTCAGACCAGCAGCCGTTCCACTTGTGCACAGCCACATTAGTAACACTTTTGTCCCCACCACAGATTCAGATTTCCAGGCCTCCAGATTTCAGGCCTCAGGGACACATATAGCATCCCCTGTCTTCCTCTGCCCTAAAAAAGTTTTTGTTCAGTGTTCAGAAAGAAACTACATCAGAAAAGAAACAATTTTGGAAAAGAAACTTACTTGTTTTGCAAAGTTGGCCATCAAAAGTTAGACATCTGTTGTGCACATCAATATAAACTCCTTCCTCATGCTATTTTTGTAACATAACCTATGCAACTTTTATACAACCTAATACGTATGCAAGGCAGCATAATTAAGATTACATGAGAGCCTGTAAATCTTCTGGTTTGAGCTTAAAACCCTTCTAGTATACATTCCTTATGTACAGTCCCTACCTGTGCCTTTCCCCCTTGTGCAGTCTTACCCTGCAAACAACACCAAGATGCTGACCCTGAAAATTGCTGACTTCAGAAATGAAGCATCATCAGTTTATGAAAGAGCTTACTTATTTGGTAGCCTGAAACAGCAGGGGACACTGGGCTTGAAAAAGAAAGGTCATTCCCATTTCTGTATTTCTAATAGACATTTAGTTTAATATTAATGTCAATGCTAACATCTTTATTTATAGGTAACTGCTTTACTTTTCTGACCCTTCCATCAATGGAAACCAGCCAGAATACTGGTCTAGTTCATGGGTGACTTCTCTCCAGCAACATCATTTACATTTGGTAAATACAATTTAATTCAGACTGAGCGCCTTGTCTGCAGCCTGTAATTCAGGGTTTGCTGCTGGGCAGGGCATGCCAACGAGTGATGCTGCTCCGTCCCTGAGACACCGAAGGTGCCAGCACCCGCTGCGTGTCTGCGTGCAACTGCGTAGGGCTTTCCCAACAGCCCGTTCCCTGTGTCAGTGTGCTGCTCACCCATTCATTTTCCCTTTACTGCACAGACCTGCAGGCCTTCCCGGGTAGTGATTAGGAACCTGTTAACATATGACCCGTCCAGAAGTTTAACAGTAACTTGAGAATAAATTAAATCTGCAGCAATCACACAGAAAATGTCCCTGAATATGTAACCCAATGGAGCTCACCCTCACTGGTGGCTCTGCACAGAGTCCAGCTCTGCAGTGGATGGAAAGCCTGCAATACTTGGTTTTTTTAAAAAGTGATTCTTCTCTAGTCTCCAAAAATGTTGACAATCAAAGAAGAACAGCAGGGAATATTTGTGTCTGTGGTAGGAGGATTGCACAACTCACTGTGGTGTACACTGACTTCCATGTATAACAATTTTATGAACATTAAACTACCTTCATAACTAAAATCACTATACCTAGTGGTTCTGGCTGCTAACTAGGAACCTATTGGTCACAGACTAAGTAATTTTCTGCTTTCTGGCTAACTTATTTCCCATTTCTGCCATTTCAGATCAGCTCAAAATACAGGTGCAAATATTAGCTCTGTTCCGATCATGTTAAAATCCTCCATCCCCACATCTTGTAGATAGCAACTTCCTTACCCAGATGTGTCGCACTGCTTCCTCCAGTGCCACAGGCCACATGGGGCTGCCCCTCCCCAGGGCTGCAGGCCAGGCACTGCCATGCTGCTGCAGAGACAAGCATGCCTGTAACAAACCCGAGCCTCTGCAAAACCCCCACACACCTCAGCCTCTGCTCCTTGCTGTTTTCCATTGCCTCCCTGAATGCAGGAATGCTGTTGGTTCCTCTTACCAACCACTGTTATTGGGATACCCCAACAGAAGCTGCACTTCTACACAAATCTTGGAAATTCAGTACACGCACATCCATGCTATCCTACTGCTTTCTTCATCCAGCTCTACAGAAATGAGAGAACAGACATTACATCCACTACCTTGCAGCATCCTTTTTTCTGTTTAATTCTCAGTGTATTTCGTGTAAGACAGCACTGCTTCTAAGCCGTGGCAGTAGGAACAGCCTTCTTTGTGTTTCGCAGGAATATGAGCAGTGAGCGCTTAACAAACAGGGCAGAAATGAGTGAACAGGTTTGCATTCTGCCTTGCCTCACGACAATTGCAGAGCCTTCCACTGCTCAGTTCCCCCAGGCTTTGCTTCGTGCAAGCTTTTGTACCTCTTTCTATGGGAAGAAGCACTTAAAGCATACAGAGGTGCAGGCTGCTCTTAAAACCATCCTTAAAAGGTAAATTTTCACTTATCGGCTTGACACCCTCCGTCACGATCCATCCGTATTAACACTGCTTTCAGAAACTAGGTTTTTAAGATCAAGTTTTCTGCAGCGAGACTCCTGAGCTGGTATTCGTTTCTTTCCCAAACATCCTGGTCCCGAGTCCCACACACACACACACAACGGCTGAGTTCATCGCTGTGAGCTCTGCCGCAGCCCTTTAATGAGCATCTTTCACAGCCAGGGTGAAAACGCTGCTGAAACGGGTCAGGATTACCAACCGGTAAACAAGAAGGAGCACTTAAAGTCTGCTTTAGAATTTAAACGAAGCAGCCTTTTACAGCGCGGCCGCCCGAACTCCAGACGAAGCGGCTCCCGCACACTCGCTCGCACCGCGCTCACTGCCGCTCGGGCGGAGCAGCGCCGCGCCACCTGAGGGCAGAGCGGGCGGAGCCGGGGGGGCCCGGGCCGGGGCCGCAGTCCCTGGGCACCGAGGGGCGCGCCGGGCAGCGGCCCCGGGGGAGAGCCGGCAGCGACCGCGCCCCGCGGAAGGAGGGCGGGCGCGTGGTCCTGCCCGGCACGGCCCCTGCCCTGCCCTGCCCCGGGGGCGGAGGGCCGCGGACGCCTTTGCCTCCTCCCCGGTCGCAGCGCACGGGAAGAGCGGGCGGCAGCCGCAGAAGCCCTACCCCAGCCCGGCCCCAGCCGCCGCCGCCGCCGCCCGAGGATGCCGCTCGCCGCGCCGCGGTCGCTGCCGCTGCTGCTGCCGTTGTTGCTGCTGCTGCCGAGGGCGCGCCCCGCCGCCCCGCCGCCCAGGTACCGCCCGGCCCGAGCCGACCCATCCCCTCCCGCCTCGCCCCGCTCGGCCCAGGCTCCGCCGAGAGCCGCGGGCGTGCCGGGCTTCTGCGCGGAACGGCCCCGTGCGAGAGCGGCGCCATCGGCGCGGCTCCGTCCGTCCCCACGTGCGCAGCTCAGCCGTGTCCTCGGCGGCAGCGGCGCGGAGTGCCGAGCGCTACCGAACGCGCTGCCGCCTGCAGCGCTGGAACAGCCGCCCGGCCCGGCTGAGCCTCACGAGCTGCGTGCGGGCGGTTGGCGGCCTCGAGCAATAGGAAAATGCCAGAGAGCTGCTTTGTTACATGGCTGAGTTCAGAGCGTTGCGGGGTGGGACAGATGAGAATTAGTACTTTATTTTATTATCGAAAGACTTCTTAATAATCCTTGATAATTAGAGTAGTAGCGATTTTCTACAATGCATCTCCACCACCACCTTGCACAGTAGAACGTGACGAAAGGTATTCGTCAACGCTGTTGTACTGCACACAGTGTCCCTGCTGGCATCAGGCAATGAAAAGTTTGTCTGAAGTTACTGAGAATTTTAAATATTCCAGCTTTGGTTTAAGAATTCAGACTATCAGTACCCCTTTCTTATTATGCAAACAATAAATGAAGTATAGTTAAAAATGAAGTGCTGTTTTTCCTGTTATCCTCAGGCCTACATTTACATGTGGAGGAGTTGTATCGGGAGAGTCGGGGTTCATTGGGAGTGAAGGATTTCCGGGAGTCTACCCTCCAAACAGCAAATGTACCTGGAAGATCACGGTAAGAACTTCTAATCTCACAAAGTCAGGCAGTGAACTGCTGTTAATGGCAGTGGTTCGTAGGGGGCAGGAAATCTGTGCAGTAGTGAGCTAGGAACTCAGCACAGCTCAACTATCTAGAGCACTTTAGGATAGCTCTGATATATATGATAAGAGTGGCTAAAGAGTACAGTAAAGAACAGACCTTGTCTATGGTTGGATCAAAATTTCACTGGCTTTCATAGATATGTCTTAACTGTTTTAAAATCAACCCCCTTAGAGCAAACCTGTACAGTTCTCATCAGCACAGAAATTAGCAGTTAGACCAGAATAGTAAAAGCAAAGCTTTGAGGGGTAGGCAACATAAAACATCATGAAAAGCAAAATTAATTGGCAAGGAGATGCAGAAGTTTCAAGCAGAAATGAAAACAGCATGAATAGGTTTGCTTGTAGTGTGTTCATAGTAAAGCTGTTTTGCCAGGAAGGACAACTGGACTATGTCACACTGCAAAGCAAAAAGGAGGTGTTGTTATGATTACCGATGGCCATGGAAAAGCATAGGGTGTGACTTGATATTTTGATGCCGAGATGAAGCTGTAGTGCAGAGGCACTGTACTCACAGACACCATTAGGCAACAAGGCCTGAACAGTCCAGTGCTGGATGTGTCCTAACTCACAACTCAGAAAAAGAGATCCGAACAAACAACTTTCCTTTTCCTCACATCAGTACAAATGGAGCCTTCCACATTTGCCCACCAAATTCCCCTTCCATCGTTTTATGCACCGCTCGCTAAGAGCTCCTGTGGCATTCAGTCCTAGGGTATGGACTCTGCAGAAGAAAAAGCAGCATTTAACAAAGTGGTCTTTGTGTTGAAGGGAGCAGTAAAGACGGCCTTAGTTCAAAGCCTGCACTATGGGCCGGTGATGGCAGCCGAACAGGATGTTAGAGGGTAATTGTCTCCTGCTACTATAGAGATGCTGACACAAAGCAGGAGGCATTGATCTGTTTACAGTGTTTGGTTGAAACAACTCTTGTACCAATGAGTGATATAATTTTAAACATTGTGTCTGAAGGACTGAAGGCTGTGAAGCTGCAACAGCTGCTTTCTGCACCTTCATGCTGCCTAATTATTAGGGCCAAGTTAAAGGTTACCTTCAATCCATGAAGGGCATTATCCAGACGAGTACAGTGTGAGATGTATGCTTGCAAATAGATTTGCTTCCTGCTGTCTGAGGAGGCTGGGATCTCAGCACGGCCCACCTTGCCATCTGAACAGCAAACGCCAATTCCATTTGGGGTCATAGGCACATGCCTTAAATAGAAGGAAAAATAATCCAAGTTAGTTTACCAACATAAATCGGTATTAGATGTTCAAAAGTCCAGCGCTGAACCTGAAGGATAGCCATCTTGATGACAAGAGCATCATTTTTGTTACCATTAAAACTTTCAGAGTATAAACGCAGAGTTAAAGCAGCTCCCTGGAGCTGCCATTCTGCATCTGTTGGAAGTAACGTGAGGACGGTTGGTTGTATCTAATGAGTTCACAGCATGGTTTCATGGCAGACTTAAAGCTGCGGTTGCCAACAAGATGTGAGCACCCAGGTTAGCCTTACAGGTGTGAGCAGCCTTACTGCAAAGCTATAGCAGAGCTATGTCTGCAATTTGGCTTTGTTGAGCACGGGAGGGAAATCAATGGCTCCTGACATTTCAACACCATCCTCATCCTTACTTTGCAGCTCTGCTGCCATTTGCCCCTGTTCTTCTGGCTGATGTTGTCCTGCCCTCTGTAGCTCACCCAAGGTCAGAGAAGGGCTGCATGACTGCAGTAGCTGAGGCTTCCCCGTGCCCCCACCTCATGCAACTCCAATTAGACACTGTTCACTCTGCCAAGCAGATTTTTCCCCAGGAATTGTGCAGAACACCCTGTCTTTTGGAAGTGCAGGGAGGATTTAGGGAAGGCCTATCAAACTGTGCAGTCTCAGTCTGTAAAAAGAGTGATTTACCAAACTAAAGGAAAGTGGTACACTCAAGGATCTGGTTTACTGGAGTTTAAACAACAAATTCCTTTCGCCAGATACGCTGAGACTTGAAATAGTTTACAGAAACACCCAAAGAAAAAAGCAAGTTTCACTGCCATGAAGAAATTCGTATGCTGCAGTTACTCTGTTAAGCTTTCTCATTTAGCATCTTATCTTGGAAGGTGAGTGAGGCTCTTGCCTGTCCATTTTACTCAAAGGCAGTGAGCATCTTCCTGAAACCCACTGTCTGGTGCAGGATCAGGCCAATCTGCAAGGCTGGGAGAGACAAAGATTGCTTTTCATCTGGGGCTCAAGAGGCCCGACACTGTGTTTTCTCAACTACAGGATCTCATCACCTAGAGAGAAAATCCCCAGCGAGGCATTGACAGCTAATTCGTTCTTTAGAAGCAAGCAGGTTCGGAAAATGCATGGGTAATACAGATAAAGCAATGTAGCAGTGTATCAGCTGAAATCCTTCCAACTGGTTTGCTGGAGCTAGAAGAGTCTCTCTAACTCAATTATGGTTCTGTTAGTTCAAGAGACTGGGACTTTTTCAGCTGGCTAAAGGAAACAGCTCCTCTATTCTAAGAGCTCTAAGAAGTGTTCAGCACATGCTTGTGGTTCTATTACAACTTTGGCAGACTACCCTGCAGCTTTCAGTTGGCTTTGCTAAGAAGTCATTTGTACAGCTATTTCCTTTCCTATAGTAATGTATATAGCTTTATCTAAAATGTCACATACGTTTACTTTAATGCTCTGTAATCCTTCTTGGCTATCACCTCACATAAATGTGTCACGCAGTCCAACAAGCCGGATCACTATCCTGTGTTTTTCTGGCAGACTGCAGTTCTTTTAAAAGTCTCGCCATTTTACGTGCAAAAGTAATACCGCAGACTGTCAGAGTTACGTAAGGTTATGTTTCTGTAGGTTCAGGAGCTGTCCCGGCAGATTGGCTGACAACAAACAGAGTCAGAAAATTTTACTTATCAGGGAGCTTGGGAATCTGCCCTTCGTTTTCCCATATAGATGTGCAGCTTCCTGTAGAGAAAGTCTTTCCTCACGGTTGCATGGATTGCAAATGAACAGTTTAACAGAATCTGGTGGCTTGCCAGGGAGAGCAAACTGATAGGAATTTCTCGATTCGTTCTTTCTGGCTGAAGAGGACGGAGCTGGGGAACAAGAGACTGGGCTCAAACTGTGGCTCATCCTGGGATGTCATTCCAAGTATCTGTCACATTCCTTCTTGGTCGAGACAACTAATGTGTTTAGCTTGAAAATAGCTGATATGTTTTTTCACGTCTACCTGGGACTGCTATGGCATAACATACAATTGGTATTTTGCTATTAAACATTTACAGTATAGGCTTAAAAATCAGCCAAAATATTTCCTCAGAAAGTTAGTATTTCAGGATTTTTCACCAACAAATGATTATTTCCAAAGCAAATAAACTGAAACAAATAATTTGGAAAGTGAGATGATTTGGGAATTCTCCATACAACCTGGAAGAGGCATAATGATGAAAAAGCTCTTTTTTTCAGTGAGAACAACAACAGGAAAGTAGCTTCATTACTTTAAATGTAAGTAAATTTTAATTAACATTAAATACCTGTAATAAACGATAACCGAAAAAGATCTAGTGATCTTATTTTGTGGTTGGTTGTGTACATAAGATAATCATGCTCATTCCAAGAGGTTAATATCCTACATGGATGATTTGTGAAAATTATGCTCTGGAACAGCTCTTCCCCAAAACTGAGGGAGCACTCTTCTCCTTCAGCTTTCAATGGGAATAATGCAAATTCATGAAAAGAAGCAGCATCCTTCACAGGAGTTCAGTACCATAATATCTGATCCTGAAGAAGTTCAAAGAGTCACATAAGTGAAATAAATGGCAGGTAAGGGTCAGTCACCCTCAGTACGATAAGGAGCAGAAGCTGTGGCTCTGCCATTGCAAGATACCAGTTGGGCAGATAAAACAGAATAATAAGGCACACCCTGCAAGGGAAGCATCACGTCATATTCTTCCTTTGACTTCTCTATCTTTCATGTGAGCAGAGCTGCAATTCCTTCCAATTCCTCCCCTGAGGTATCCCATCTTCACATGCATCAGGCTCAGATGTGTCTCAAACAAAACTGAGTCATGTTGGCCTCTACTTTCTCCCCTGGGTTTTTCATGGAGCAATATTTGAAATGTCCAAGGATAAACATTGGCAGATTTTAACATGTTGGCTTTCAACATTTTGAAAAGGAAATGGTAGAAATTAAAGAAAAGTATTGTTTTCCAAAAATGCACGTATTCAGGGTGGGATTCCTTGGGAGTAGCTGCAAGCTGGTGTGGCTGTTGCCAGAATGTGGAACTGCCATCATCTGCACTCGTGTGTCATCTGGTCAGCCCACAAACTTGTAATTCCTTCAGCATGGTAGAACACATTTGTTGTTTTTGTGAATAATGGCAAATATTATTTTAATAAGTAATGGCAGTAATATATAAAGTAATGACAATATATAACATAATGACAGAAAGTAGTACCTGTTATTAAGGAACCCAGTTCACATAACTGTAAACAACTTTTCTTCTCAAATTTGGCTAAATGTGTGCAAGGATTGTTCTGACAACTAAGGTCTGCATAGGCTTCTTGTTAAACATTCATGACCACAGGGCTGAGTACAAATATGAGGAACAGTCTTGGCCAAGATCAAGTAGATTGAAAGCTAGGGACAATAAAAACTGTTACAAAATATACAATGTCATGAAGTACAGTATAACACAGGCAGTGGTGAAGAAAGAAGGAAGCATATAACAGTGCATAGAATTCCCCTTACCACGAAACAGAAAACCCAAGACTGGAGTGAATGGCAGGCTGGCAATTCAGTTGGGCTGCTTTGCCATCCTCCACCCTCTCAGCCACTGATCAGCCGTATGTGCTGGTTCTCAATGCCCCACCTGGGGCAGCACAAGGGAGTGGGAAGCCTAGGGAAATGCGTGAGCGCTGTGGAAAAGCAAAAATCCTCTTCCTTACCCCCAAATCAGCCAGCTTCCACATTTCAGCTTCCTTTTCCAAGCTCCTGAAGGGACCAGGTGTCTTCAAAAAAGAAAATGAAGCTGAGAAAGTTGGGAAAATCTGATAAGCACTGACAAAACTACTTTCTCTAATATGATGGAGCAGCTCAACTTTCAGAAACAACAGAAGGAAAAGGGGAAACTCATTAAAGATGAGTAAGTTGTAGCAAAACTGCAAGACATTGAAAGTATGTAGTGGGAAATGCTGGACAAAGAGCTTAGCCTGTGTAAAATTAGAACATGGTGCCTTTGAAAGGTCACCTGGTTCTTGTTGTACCAGGATAAAATTAAAAACAACAAGCAACACCAGAAGAGCACACATTATTTTATGTACAGCTGTTTACTACTTCTGAAAAGAGGATGCTTTTATTTAACTGCCTAAATCTGACTTTATCTGACTAAATTTACAGCCAGCATTTTTCTTTAGTCACGCAGAGTCTGTAGGATAACTGTAAATAACATCTGTTCTTCTGACATGAATCTCACATTCCTCTTAGACTTTTCTCTGTTAAAATGATACATGCCTTAATGCCTCCGAGTGATCCAGACCAGGAGACAAGTGAAAGCAATAACGAGAGGTTTAGTTACGAGATCAGCAACTCAAGGAGTCATATTGCTTTCACAGAAATTCTTACAAAATGTCCCCACATCTGTATTGGCCTCATGCTGAATAAATACACATGTGGGTTATTTTCCTGTACAGGGTTTGCTCATTTCAGTAGCACGAGAGCTAAACCTAACATTTGACCTTAAAGTTTTCTAAAACATAGTCATTGTGCTTTGGAATTTCTGGGTAAGATTAGATGAGCTCTGTGGTTTTGATGTACTAGTAGTAGTAGTAATAACATGCGTCAGCACAGGAGAGCTGAATGCATTTTTGGAGAGAACTTTGAACAAGGATTAAAAGAACGTATTCTGACAGTAAATTCTATACAACAAGGTGAATGCAGCAGGGCTGATCAGCATGTATGTGTACCCTGGACAGATGTGATCAGCTTGTGCAAAGTCTGCCCTGCAGGATCAGTACTGGCACTGGACATGAAAGTAGCTACAGAAACGAGTAACCTTAATATATAAGCAGCACATTTTTTTCATTACATTTGGTTATTGCTGCTTTTATTAGTCTCTTCTGTGGATTAAGAACTCATTTCCATCTATCCTCTTCCATCTGAAAAAGCATTTTTAACAACTGAGAGAATTCAAAGACTGTTTGACAATTTCATATAGAAACAGTTTAGGTCCAGTTTATCTCAAACTGGTGTTTTTAAAAATGAGTCACTCTTAAGGAAGGAAAAAATTCACAAGCTCTTAAATGGAGTGGTGTAAATATGGACTTACTGCAGATATATTAAGTGTGCGTTATGTATTTAAAGCAGAAAACAGCAGTGTCCCAGACAGCTGCAATTATTTTAATTGGTAACCACTCTAGTGGACTACAAATTGAGCAAAGATCATCACATTCTGCCTATCTGAGGTCCCTCTATGCTTTAAAATAGTTCCTTTTGTCCTCTCAAGTAGTACTGAGCGCTTGTTAGAATAGTTTACACTTCTCAGCGTGCTGCTTATGCTCTTAAAAGCTTGCAACTCTATCCTAAGGAACGGTCCCCTCCTTGAAAGCTACTACCCTCTGTTAATTCACATCCTTGTCAGTACTCTTCCCTCTTTCACTATGCCCACAGATACAGACATAAGAGATGTACTCTGTCTTATGTTTTCTCAAATGCTTCAGAAAACAAAACTTTTGTGTATTGAGGGCACCCGCTAATGGTTCTTTGGAACTCTTTATAGTTTTACACATGCTTTCCAAATGGAAGCGCAGCCTACAAGCTGAATGAACCCAGTCCAATAGCTGATATTAAGGTTGTTCAGCATTAGCTGTATAAGTAAGTTATGCAAATAAATAAATAAAACCCTATGAAACCATATGACCAATCAGCAACATAAGAGCAGCCATTTCATTTCCTTAGAATTATAAACGGCTTGTTCCACATTTAAAGGAAAGTACCCCCGTTCATTTCACCCCCTAGCCTCCTTTGGTGACAGGGAGCCACCTGGCTGAGCACATACTTTCAGCAGGACTAAGTGAAACCTGCCACACTGAACTGGGAGGTGATGGCACGTAACCAGCTATGAGCATCTGGGTAGAGGGTACTGTGCATTGGGAGGAAGATAATGGCAGCTGAGATGGCCAGAGCTTTATTTTTACAATTGGCCCAATAAGATGTTAAAAACCATTGTTTGGGGTATAGTTGGCAAAAAGAACTTAATAGGCAAGAGGAGAAGGATGTGAAAATATTCACGTACACAGATCAGGTAGGTATGCGCTGTCAGTCACACCTCAAGATCTCTGTCTCCCTCCTTTCTCTCTCTCTCTCTACAGGTTCCCGAAGGAAAAGTGGTGGTTCTTTCTTTTAGATACTTAGACCTGGAAAGTGACAATTTGTGCCGGTACGATTTTGTGGATATATACAGCGGCCACACCAACGGACAGCGCATCGGAAGGTTCTGTGGTACAGTGAAACCAGGTGCCCTTGTATCCAGCAGCAATAAAATGCTGGTGCAGATGACTTCAGATGCTAATACTGCAGGAAGTGGATTCATTGCAAAGTTTTCTGCAGCAGAACCACATGAAAGAGGTAACCAACAGTTACATATGTGCTGAAGACAAATTTAACTTTATGGAGAGCTACACTAACACTTAAGTGCGGTTTCAGAGGCATTAGGAATTGTGGTGATCAGTGTATTCGTTAACTAACGTGCTTAGCAAACAGCAGAGTACAATTGCTTACTCATAACAGCTAGTTAATCAAAGTGGTAAAGAAGAGAACTGACTGTACTCCAAGAGTTGCAGAAGGGCTGCATCTAGCAGCAATATGGTTATAGCTTGTCAGTAAAATGGCAGATAAAATTCAGCACAGAAAAGTGGAAAACAGTTCCACAAGAGTATAGGAGTTGGCCCTGATCTCTGGACTGATGTGGAGAGAGCAGATGGGTAACACAGCCACAGTCACTTCTAATACAGAAAGCAAGTGGCTGCAAAGGAAAGGAGAGGGCATTTTTTCTCAGGGAGCAATTCAGGTGGCTACAGTGCTGTGCTGCACAACATTGGGGGTTGTAAACTTCTATGTTTAAAAAAAAACAAGAAAGAAAAATGTATTAGGGACAACTGTAGTCAAAGGCATTAGTTTTTGCCTGGAGATGACAGGGAGGACGTGTCACTGTGCTCTTGGCCTGCCAACCAACTTGGTTGGCAGGCCAACCACTTGAAGGCTTTTGCTACTGGGACAAAGGAGAATATAGAGACAACCATGACATGATGAAATCACTTTCATGAAGACTCATAATCCTATTACAAATAAGGATTACATACCTGGTGCAGGTCTGTGACCTGAGGAGCAGACACAGAGGAATGCACCTGCGTGTGGTGGGCGCTCCAGGGCATAGCTCAGGGAATGCCTCCAGCTCCACACGGCTCCTCCTGCTGCTTCACAGGGCTGCTTCTCCCTTCCCCCGTCTTTCTCTTCTCTATCTCTGGTGTTTTATACACTTTTTTCGTGGTATGTTCTCTGAGGAGCTGCCAGCATGCCGCTGGGCCCGGATGTACAGCACTGGGGCTGCTGGAGCGGCAGTGCCCAGCATGGCGCAGCCTGGCCTCTCCTCACAGATCCCCCTGAGACCCCAGCAGCACCTGGGCAGTGGCGCACAGCACAGCAAGGTCGGCCCATCACCCACATCATACCACGCACAGTGTGCTGTACTTCCAGGTGACCAGTACTGCGGGGGACGGCTGGAGAAGCCTTCCGGCTCCTTCCAAACACCCAACTGGCCAGAGCGGGACTACCCAGCAGGCGTCACGTGCTCCTGGCACATCGTGGCCCCCAAGAACCAGGTAACGCGCTGCCTAACCCCACCTCCCTCCCCAGCAGCCACACACAGAGGTGCCACTCAGGCTGCACTCGTGGTAAAAATACCATCTGGCTGAAGCTTGAAGTCAGGGAGACGAGCAGAGTGCAGGCGCAGCTGCACTTCAGCTGCACTCACCTTACGTGACGTGGGGCAGCTGAGAGAACACGAGAAGCACTAAACGCCCTCTTGTGCGCACTGGTAAATTCCCCTGTATTGAGCTTCTAGAGCATCTATGACTGGTGAGGCCTTTAGAGAAGATCTTTTAAAGACGATTTTGTTAATCAACAAACCATCATGCAAAATAAGCTAGGGGAAGTGATCATCTCAGGACTTAACACGATAATGATGGTGGTGAATGTTCAGCTTAAGTCTAACATTATTTGTAGCATTTTCAACTTCAGTTTATTATTGAGGTAACCAAGCAGAGCTGGTTCAGCTTAGTAAAAGCAGAAATTGTTCTCGATTCAGTTCACAGCACAGGGAATATATTCAGATGAGCCTTACACGAGGATCTTCAATATGTTTCATTAATTTTGTCTTGTTTTATATTTTGAAGGCTTCATCTCATAACACGCTTAGTTAGCCAGATGCCTTCAGAGTGCAAGTTTCCATTTTGTTAAGGCCTAAATAGAGCTGAGAGCAGAAGAGATAAAGGGTGTGTTTGCCACTGAGCCACACGTGGCTATAAAGTGTTGTTCCCTATGCTTAGAGCTCATCTTCATTCTAGCTTAACATTTTTTGGTTGTTGCTGAGCAATCTGCTCTTTAACTTGGCACAAAGTCAGAAATCTTGGTCACCAAGCCCACTGGTAGGTTGCTTTTCTTAACTATCTCCAGGTTCTTATATTCCTCTTTGTGTAAAGAGAACTACTCTTAAATGCTGTTCATGACCATCACCTCTCAAATAAAAATTGAGAACAAAATACTTTGTAGAATATTAAGGTCATATTTTGAACTATTTCTCTACTGGAGAGAATCTACATGGATTAAAATATCAAACCCATATTAGGTGGATTGAATAATTCACTATTATAGACAGCAAAAATGAATCAGTAGCGCATCTGAAGAGGCCATTTAGTGTAAGAAGCACTAACAAATTTTGGTTATCAAAGTCTTACTAAATTACTTGCACTTTTTTCCCTGCAGCTAATAGAATTAAAGTTTGAGAAGTTTGATGTCGAGAGAGACAACTACTGCAGATATGACTATGTTGCTGTGTTTAACGGTGGGGAAATCAATGACGCTAAAAGAATTGGGAAGTATTGTGGAGACAGTCCACCAGCGTAAGTAACTTTCTACGATTATGAGCTTCACAGCACTATGTATTGCTTTGCTTACAATTCTATACTTGGTTTTTGATTTTTATTTTTTCCTCAATAAGTCATTTTCTACCTTCAGTTGCATTTCTAGAAGTTGCTCAATAATATCCATCTCTCCCCAGGTTTTTCCTTTTCCCTCATGTGTCAGTGACTATCCTTGTTTCCAATCCAAGTTCTGTCCCGTCTCTCAAGCCTCATTTGAGCACTCTCTAATTATACCCTTTTTAATGCTATTGGTATTAGCATGTACATATAATACCGGCATTAACGCTAACTGAATACTAGCATTACTGTGTTTTGATTACAGATACCAAACTGCAAAGATCCAACTGACCTCCGCAGTCTCTTGTCTCTTTACTCCATTTCATTCTACCCTCTGCCATGCACTTCTGCTCATTCCATGGCTGCTCACCAGCTCGTCCACTTGTGCTGAGCAGTGCCCTTCATGACACATGAACATGTTGGGTACCACCATAGGCTTCAACCAGCTTAGTTGCCAAATTGCTGATGCCACACTCAGGAAAAAATAACCCCAATCCATTCAAACTGTCATCTCACCCAAAATACTCCCAACATCATCCCTCTGGCTCTGCCTCCCTCCATTAAACACCCCCTAACATAGACAGAAGCACCATCAGTATATAAACAGATCTGGCAATAGTAGATCATAATTATTTAAGAAGTGTATAAATTTTCTTGCATGAGGCTAGTAATTTTTAGTTTTTTTCCTCCACATCATACCTCTTCCATTAAGCTATTTAAAAAGGAGTAGCTTTACAGAATGAAGAGAATATACAAGCTAGTAAAACTAATGTAAGCATGTGAATAGAATTAAGTCTCAGAAGTGACAGCTAGTTTGATTCCCAAGAGCAACTGAGATAGGGGAAGGAGGTACATGCCTCAGTCTTTCTAGGGACAGTGTGCTGGGCTGAGATTTATTGTGAGGTTTGTGTAGTTTGGTTGGATGTTTTTTTTAAGGTTACACAGTATATCCTCTGGAGACAAGAGGGTAGGCAGACATTCTGCAAAACTCTTACAGACTTTTCTTCTCTATGCAACAGCTTCACTCTTGCTATTTTTGATCATTACCTAATAGCAGGACAGTCCTAGAAATGAAGAAATAGAGTAAGCTTAGCCTTACAAAAATTTATTAGAAATTTGGTAATGGTTTAATTAAGGGTAAGTAGGGGTGCACCTGAAATATAGTCTTCAGTTTCCTTCAGCCACCTTAAGCTTTTGGTGTTAAACTTTCATAAGTTTCCCTTTGGAAAAGATGCATCTTTTGAGGCTGAAGTTCAGTGCAGCCTTCTTGTAGTTCAGTTAAATACTGAAATATGAGAAGATACTGACATTACAGTGCTACTGGAAGAATGTTCTTTAGGTGCTAGCTACTTCAGGCCTTTAAAACAATGCAAGAGACTAAGTGTTAGCTGCAGTTACAGTCACTTCCTTGTTTGCAGGAAGGACTTCACTAGTAGAAGTAGAATTATCCATATTGCCTCCAACAGAAAAGCTGTGAGATGGAGGAAGACTGTGCAAGGCAGTTAGTATTAAGAAGTCCACAAGACAAGAGCACAGAGTATAGCTTCACTGTATGTAAGTTGTGACATTGCAGACTTCTCCCAACGCAGGTAAGAACTGAACTCCACAAGATCTTATCCTTCCCTTGATTCTCAGGAGGCAGCAGTGAACAAAACCCCTTAAAAATGAAGCTGGTGGCCTCCAGCCCCTGGAATGTAGTTGCTTCTTTCCAACTAAGACCTAGGCCAGCTGCACAAGTACATTTTGAACCATTGCGATCTGATCTTGGCTGACAAAGCAGTGCAGAAGAAAGAAGTGCCAGTTAATCCCTGAGAGGTAGCCAGAAGTAGCTTCCTAAACCAACTCTCAGCTGTGGCTCAGCATCTATCCCCAAAGCAGGTCAAAGCTGTACACTGGTCTGCCAAAGTTCTAGTGGGCTTCACGACATAGACATTTTAGTATGGACTTGGACTTTAGTATGCAACAGGCAAATAAGGGCAGAAGTCTGGGCTCAGACCCAGGCCACATAGCTTAGAGATGAGATTTCCTGTTACAGAATGTTAGAAGTGTACTGACAGCCAATTTTAGGACTGCTTACTAACCTGATCCAATACAGAGCTTCAACACGATCACTTTCCCTTGCTGAGTAATATATAGACAACTTATGTAATCAGTGAGGATCAAGTGCGTCTCCTGGGATTTTTCCACTAGCTGCAAAATGCTCAGCATAGTTTACCAGAAAAACAGTATGGACCAAACTCCTGTAGCAAAAGAAAAGCAAATCATGTTGTGTAAACTGAATAATGAAGGAAGCCTTCTATAAAGAATATTAGCTGCCTATCTAACACAGCAATTATGCAAGTTGAAATTCACTAACGAACGGTTACAAATGATGTAACATGGCATTCTGTAACAGAAACAGCATACTTAAGTATGAATAAAGTGAACACCTTGAACTTACTTGATGGTTACAGAGATGAACCCAGATCCAATCGTAGAGCAGCTAGCATACAATGTAACCACATACCTGATTCCTAATTACAATTAGTATGAAATATAAATGAATAGTATGTGTAATAACATTTTATTAGGAGAAAAAAAAAAACAAACAAACAGCAACAAAACCAGCACTTGAGATTAAAAAAGACACTTATAAAAATACACGGGTCAAATTTTTCAGATTGTTTGGCTTTTTATATCTAGTGTTCAGCAAGCGGACCAAAGTTTTCCTACAGCTGATAAGTGCCCTCCTAATACCAAAGCCTTTATCAGTGCTGTGGTAAGAAAATTACAGTCTGTTCATTTACCACAGTAACAGTAAATCTACAGAATTTCAGATAATTATGCACTTTTGTGTCAGCTTGCTAGGGGCTGAATCTGACTTCTGTAATACTTGCTGAAAAGGAAATGGAAAAAAAAAAGAGTTAATCATAAATTTTTATAAAGTTAAAAGTGTTATGGAAAGTTTTGAAGAACTTCTGCCTGAAGCTCATGAACACTAACACAAATTCTGGAAGGAAGCAAGACGGTCATTTGAGTGAAAATACATCTTACAACCATTTTCCACTTTTTTCTCTCAAGTTCTATCTGCCTCTATATTCTATTTTCTTTTTTCCAAACAAAATGTGGTCTTGCTTGAAAACACTGGCATTAACAGATATTAATTAATCATGCTTAGAAGAATGAGCGTTGTGCTCCTTTGCTAGAGTTGCATGCCATACAATTTTCTCTAGTGGAAGTCTTCAACAGAGCCTACATCCAGAGTTAGTTAGCATCACAGCAGGTACTACAGTTTACGAACTAAAAACCAATACGCTGACAAGCACTTGTTAATGACATTTCAAATCCTAACAAAATAACACCACTAGCTCTGTAAGGCCTCCAATATAATATAATAAAAATCCAATCTCTGGCAAAATACAGCCACACAGAAGTAGCAACCCAAAATATTTTTAGTGGTTTTACTGAAGAATTTCAGAGTTCCACATCAAATTCATTTCCGTCAGACCTTCCAAATACATAATACACTTTCCATTAAACAAAAACGAACTGAAACCCAAAAACATTTACTCAACTCTGCTACATGCTGAGGATTCCTTTAACATATTTTCTCACTGTATTAACCTGTCCCCACGGAATGAAATTCCAGAAGTGAAGTCCGCAATGAAGTCACACAGAAGAATTTGAAGATATTTGTACTGACATAACCCTCAGGAATCAGAGGTTTTCATGATTCAACAGAATGAGTTTCACAGTCACAGCATCAGGGTCAGACATGTTAGCAAAAGGAGCATGTACTCTAGCAGTAGGGGCAGATATTGCATTCACATCAGAAATAAACTCAAAGCACAATCTCTTTTCTTTTGTGTAAGAATGCTATTCATGGTTTTTTTGGTTTTGACATTAAATCTAATAAAAGTTATTTTGTTTTTCCATCCCAGGCCTATTGTATCTGAGAGAAATGAGTTGTTCATTCAGTTTTTATCTGATTTAAGTTTAACAGCTGATGGTTTTATTGGCCATTATAAATTTAGACCAAAAAAGTTACCCACAACTACAGTTCCACCTACTACCACAACAATCCCTGCTACATCAGGTAAGTTTTTTTGGCTTTATTTGATTGTAAAACTGATTTATTCCAGAAAGAGAGGGTTAGAAAAATGTAACATGAAGCATATTAAAATCAGTTTTGTGGTTTGTTAGTGCTTAAAATGTTGAAGGAATTAATTAAAAATTAATATACTCAAGAGAGCATGTAGAATCTACTTAATATTATTAACAGGAAATCTCTCCGGTTCACTGTAACAGTTACTTCAGATAAGAGAATATTATCATCTCTTCTCAGCATTTTGATGAGCAAACACCTTTTACCAAATTCCTCAGAACAATGAGCAATTACTTTTTTTTTTTTTATAGGAAGGTCCACATATTTCAATAAATAATTTTATTTTTAAAAAAAGTTCTTCCAGACAAGCCAATTTATAAATGTTTGGTCATATTTCTCTTCATTTAGTTATTAAGATAAAGCAACATTGCTATTTAAACCATCTGAGCCCTCTTCACGTTTTCTGAGCGTCCTACCAACAGACCCTCTTCTCTCAAAATGGTGTTTATTCAAAAATGTTCAGGGGCAGAAATTTATAACAAAATATGTCAGACTAAAAATAATCTCCTTTTATATTTAAGATGAAACAGCACATATGAAAGATCAAAGGAGGACTTCTCTGAAGGCCTTGCCAAAACTACCTCATTACGGAGGTTCTGAACGGATAAAGCCTTAAAGTTTCCATAACCTGAATGAGAGGTTTAAGATACAGTTGTAGCACAAAACCAAATTATTCATGATGTTTGGCATCACAACCTAATTTGCATTTAAAACACGTCAGAAGTCAGCACAGTAATGGCTTTCCAGAAGAAAACAAAGAAACTGCGGTGCTTAAATACTGAAATATATTTAAAATAGATTTTAAAAAGCAGTATAAAAATGAAATCACAGTGAACTGCAAATCATCCTGATGGAACTGACAGTTTGGTAATAAATAATTCAGCTCTTTTTCGTTATAAAGCACTTCATAAAGTTGTTCCTTCCAACACCTGGTCTCAGTTAATCCAGGCTGTCACCTGTCTCACGCTGCAGCCTTTCTACAGAGGCCTATCGAATACCAAATGAAGACCTCATTAAGATGAAACAAAACAAAAACAACAAAAATCCCACATCACTAAGCGTGGTTCAAGTATTAAACTTGAGATTCAAAAGGCAGAATAGCAAATATGAAGATCTAACCATTGTGGACCTGCACTGAAGACAAAATTTCAGCATCATTCATTTGAATTTTAGAAATCTTATTTTTGAACCAATCTATACCATTAGCAGATAAGTAGAAATATAAATAATAACTGGTTGGAAAACTGGCCAGAAGCTTTTTCAGAAAGAATAGGCTGAGTAAGATTTCTGCAAAATACTTCCTTCTAGAGAAAAATAAAGCAAAGATATTCTTCACAACTATTTTAGGGCATTTTTGTTTATTTTAAATAAATGCATTTATATAAGTTGTCTGGGTTTATTATTGTTCTAATCTCTCCATCTCTCATCTCAAACTTACCAATAATTTGAACAATCTGAATAAAGTGCAGAGACTGTTAATGTCCACTCCAATGGTAAGCAGGAAAGGAGAGAGGGGGGAATGTATTTACTTGTCTTTAAACAAAGCACTCAGCTTCAGAAAGGAAATGTAAGTCAGTGTGAAGCAGCTGTTGCCTCCAATATTAAATTCTTCACACATTCTATTGTGTTTCAAAATGCCATCTTTCAAAATTATACAGAACATATCATGAAGCAATGTAAAAAATGTAGAAAAAAGGTAGGAATTTGAACTCTGCTCTCTTTCATCACAGTACAGTAATTTCTGATATAAGTCTACCTGCTTTCTCTGAAGCACTACCATAATATCATAAGACTTTAATGGACTACTGTGGCTCCAGAGCAATAGGCAACACCACTAACAACTTGCACATTTAAGACCACACTACAATCAAATGTGAATGTTCTTAGTAAGAAGTCCCACTGTATAATGCCATTAATGTACAACGTAGCTGAAATGCATGGAAAGAAGCGGAGGTGATGTCAGAAAAAGGGGACACATCATTACTGTGATATTACCAGATCTACTTGTATTACCAGATTTACTTAGCATGTATATGTTTTTAAGCATGCTACTTGCATTTGTTTGAAAATATCTTTTAATTTCTTCTTTGTTCTTCAAAGTTTCGAAACCTACAGTTGCCCTGTGCCAGCAAAAATGCAAGAGGAGTGGGACTCTAGAAAGCAATTATTGTTCAAGCAACTTTGGTAAGAAAGTTTGTTTCTTTTTAATTAATTGTTGCTTGGAAATGTATACACTGCTGGGAGTTTTACCAGATGTAGTTATGAATGATCCTTAATATATTGGTGATATTTTTACATCCTCTTACACATGTATTTGACATTAGAATGCCTATCATCATAACACTGGAAATAATCCCAAAAGAGGCACTGCATTATGACTGAATAGATATATTTGCTCTAAAAAATCACATCACTAAATATAGGTCAGCTTCCGATAGGAAATACTGATTCAATTACTGTAGTCATCTCATTTGTCTGTCATCAGGGAATTTTATGCCACATTTTATGCCATAGCTGCTGGCTATTTCACAATTCAGCCTACAGATTCCCAAAACATTTTTAAGACTTCAGAAAGCGTGGAAGCTTAAAAGCACTGCTTTCCATGCTCAAATCACTGATACAGCAAACACCCTTCTCTATATTTGGATGGCATTGTCACTTATAATTTCTTATGTGTCAGAGGCATTTCCCAAATTAATACTGGGAGCTTCTCTGACCTTTTATAACCTTTATTACCTTATACTATCTTTGATGGAACAGCTTAATCCCCTGTACAATCAACAGGTGGAAAAACAATATGCGTACAGAGGTGAGGCTAAGTAGGATTACCGTGGTGGAAAGATAAATGAAAAATGCTCACCAGTGCTGTAGGCTCGCAATAAACTGGATCTCTCTCCAGAAAGAGATCCTTCCTTAGTGGCAGTCAGCACTTAAATGGGATCTCAGAGAGGCGCAGTCAGGCTCCACCCCTTCAGGTATCACAGGTGAATTGCCTTCAGCTGTGCTCCCCTGCTGACTCATTGCGTGCCGCAGGTGGTCAATCAGAGGTTCAGGCCATTATCAACAGTTCCCATACAATTCTCTCACAACTTAATAATCTAATTCTCTCTAATTTTATAACTAAACCCATGAGATTGGAGGTAGTCTGCTGTTTCAGGAAAGCAGGGGCAGCTTTATATCATTTTGCTAGAAAAACAGTTTAGGGTTGTGACTGCACCCTGATGCAGAATGCAGACACTGCAGCACCAACTCACCATCACTGCTGACCACCAGCCTTGTTTAATACACAACCAGTACAGGCTTGCCCCATGTCAGAACAAGCAGGAAGAAAAATCTTACTGACCACACCTCAGCTGTTGTGGCTGACAGTCACTGCCACTATACGAAACTTGTTTTTTCTCCCTTGGCACTGGAGTAATAAAAATCACTTTCCTTCTCACCTCTTGCCAAATTGCTGATGGCACCCACCTTTCCAGTATTGTTTGCATCATTTTTAAGAGCAAATATGCTTGTTTCTGTGGTCCATCAAATTGTAAAAAATAATTAAAATGCATCAAATGTGATTTCTTCTAGTAATAACTGGAACTGTAATCTCAACAACAACACGGGCTGGAAGCTTGCATGCAACAATATCAATCATTAATGTATACAAGGAGGGAAACTTAGCGATACAACAAGCAGGAAAGAATTTGAGTGCTAAGATTATTGTAGTATGTAAGCAATGTCCTCTCATCAGAAGAGGTGAGTACAGCCAAATAACTGCTTTGTGTTTTTGTAAAAGACAACAGTTTTGAGAACTGCAGTTTGAAATACAACCGCAAATATCAGTAAAATTACAGGAACTGATTCGATAATCAGCTACTTGTATTACATGGAATCAATTCAAAATACAAAAAACTTACAGGCTTATATAAATAAAATTTAAGAATGCAATAAAGTATTAGGCTTTCTTAGATCAAGGGACTTTGAAAAGATGTTTTAGAAGCTCACGTGATATGAAGTAAAATCTGATTTTGCTTGCCCAGATGAAACTCGGTTCTATTTTGTTTTTGCATGTATATATTTTGGATTGCATGCAGTTACTCAGAGTGGAAAAACAAAATCACGCTAAACTTGAAAGAACAGTATGTGACAGCACATGAAAATGTAACTACTTCTGCTGCTTCTCTTCCTGTATCCCTTTACCTATTCTACATCTGCAAACAGCTAGTATTTCTACAGCTATCAAACTGTTATATGGAGTGGAACAAAGATTTCCAGTTAACTATAACAAAGGCTACTTATATCATATTGTAAGAAATATACTCTCTCATTAAAGTAACTAAGCAAGAAATGAAATAGTAGTCAGGTCTGCTTCCTGAGTAAACAGGTAGAACAGGAGAACATAGAGCCATAGCAGGAAACAGTCAAAATAATTTAATAAGCATCCAAAAAGACCCTGTTGCTGCTGATACTTAAGTATATTACTTCTAAGTGGGCAGTATCAAAGTGAGCATCCTTGTCAGAAACTTGCTTTTGCTTTTACCTTTGTTTCTTCAGAAATCAGGCATCTGTCTGGGACAAAGAAGAGTATCCTTGGAACAAACTCTCTCCTTTTAGGCAGATTGAGTCCAAACCACACACTTCAGTTTCTCTACCTAAATATTCTACCTCTGAATTATTTAATAGCCATTACATAATATCTAAACTTTCTACATTTCTGTTTAACCCCCTACAACATGACTCTTTCCTGTGTGAGGCCTTGCAGATCTCTAACTCTTCTCAGCCATGCAAACACTCAAATCCATCTGATCGCCTCAAAGTCAGGGCTTATCACACGCCAAGCCCACCTTGCTTACCTGACTGCCACTCTATATTCCTAGACTGTATTTATGCCCTTGAAGAAGGAAAAAGGCATGAAAAGACTAAAGAGCATTATACTACAAGCTGAGTGTATGAGAAAATATCCAAAAATTAATCATTAATAATTAACATCTCCAGATGTTAGTAATTAATTGATCCGGTGTTTATTCTGCATTTCTAATGTTTATTAAATAAATTAATATTAATATTAAATAATATTAATATTAAATACAGACTGTCAAATGAATCTGAAAAACATCTGCAATGTATTTAGCCATACAATAGGTATGTATTTAGCCATGGACTTGTTTGATTTTTATGTAATTGTAGTTTGTTGCGTAAGTACAAAATGGATAAGGAAGTATATATATGCCTTGGGTAGGAAAGAAAGCACAGTAAAGACATTGGCAACAGAATATAAACCACAGATAATTCTGCTTACCCAACCATGTCTTAAAGGTTTGTTCTGTAATATCAAACTCTCTTTTGTAGGTTTGAACTACATCATCATGGGCCAGGTAGAAGAAGACGGCAGAGGCAAGATCTTTCCGAACAGCTTTGTCATGAGTTTTAAGACTAAGAACCAAAAGATCCTGAATACCTTGAAAAACAAAACATGTTATAACTAAACTCTGCATCTGCATTCTATCATTTCTCTTGGAAAATAATTTTCACTTAGTTTAAGTCATGAAAACACAACCACAAACACTAAGACTGTGGTCACCCTTTCCACACTTCTCCCATCCTAGCCACCAAAGCACAATCCTGATACAAAATTACAAATCCTGAATCTTAAAGTTGAAGATCTGCAGCACAACCTTCTGATCTGAAACACACCAAATTTGTAATTTGGTTAATTTATAATTGTCCATTTTTTAAGGCGTATATATGTAAAATAAGAATTTTAAGTGCAATATTTATAGTAACTCATTTAACACTGCTTTTTTCTCTTGTTTTATTACATAGATTCTTGCATTATTATCTGTGCTTAATAAAATATTTTAAGATTAAATCATAAACCAACTAGTTGTTCATTATGTGTAAAGTAGGGCAGGCTAAACATTGAAGTCATTTTTTTATTACTTACGTGTTTTTGATGTTCTGGGTCTTGCATAGTATGACTGACACTGTGCCTTCTTGATGATTAAGGGACTGAATTTTCTTCCATGGCAGCCAGTGAATCACTGATCTGACTAGAACCTGCATTTACTTTTCAACTGTTCAACAGTACCATGCTTTTCTCTACTTATGACCATGCTATACTAAGTAATGTCACTATTAAATTCTGTAAGGCAATCATGGAAGAGAACAGAAGTAATTAATTCAGCGGCAGTAAAATACACATGCAAATAGTTTCAATTTTTGTCTCCACTGTGAAAGAAAAGACAACACAGCAGTACTCAGTCTGACACCACTAGTGTAAATAGCAGAATGCATGTCTAGAGAAATTTGTCACATTTTCTGTTGTATAGAGTCAGATGTTATTCTGAAAATGAAAGGCTGAATAACCAAAAAAAGGAATAAAAACTGATTATAGGTAAAGATTAATACTGAGAAATTGAACAGTTTGATCAAATTGGGTAAAACAAGAAACTATGAAAAATGAAATGGAACAGAATCATGGATCCATTTAAGTACTTGTTTTCCTTGTGTGCAAATACGATAGAGTTCTTTTGATAGTCTGTGACCACGTAGAGCAAACTGCAATGAAATACAGTCCCTATTAGAAGCACTCACTGCTTATTTAATTAGGGCAACAGGGATTGCCATTCTCCTTCAATTACTGACTCTCACATGAAATGCCAAGAGGTACTGCCATGGTGCAGCTTGCTAACGCAGCAGCATCCGTTGTGAAGATTTAATGGCTAGCTAGGCAGAAGACAAAAGAATTGCAGGGAGGCTCAACTGTACAAAAAAGCTGTGCTGGCAGCTGATGTCAAACAGCTCAGCAGGGCTGTAAACACATTCTACAGACTAAGATTTTGACTTACTGACTGAACCAAACAGCATTTCACTGCAGAAAAAACATTTATTTATAAACCAGGTGTAATTTTCAAACTGCAGTTTTAGGCCTTGTTTTCCAGTATCAGTTCTTATCCAAATTAAGGGGCTTCATACATTGATTGTTCTCCCTGTGTTTCCCAGCAGCAGCCTGGGGAGAAGCAGTGTGGAAATCATGCTTAGAACTGCGTGGAACTACAATGATCTATTTTTATTTATGATTACAAGACCATCTGTCATGCAACTTTTTTCATTGCAGCAGGAGTCTGGCAGCCAGCTCCTCCTCTCCAAAATTGTATGCAGAGAAAGTTCCTGCCTGCCTGCTCTTCTCAACACCCTCCTTCTATTGTAAATTCCTTGACAAAATAAAATATATCCAAATGCCATTTAACTTTTTTTGATGTAATTAATCTAGAATATTTCCCAGGACTGGCAAACTTTGCAGTTTAAGGGATATGTGAAAACCACTTTAATACACTCTCTTCACCTGCACTCAGTGCATGTGTAATCAGAATGGATTCCTTCCTGCTACATGCTCCTGTTTGGAAGGCCCAGGCTTTACAGAAGTCAAAGCTCTGACAGCAGCAGTCCTGGAATAGGAATCAGGAGCCAGGATTCAGGAAGCGCGGTGCAGTACCAGTTTACTCAAGGGAGGATCAGTCACAAAACAGAGCCAGCAACTTCCCAAAATGACACTATTTGAAATCAGATCCAGTGACTGGATTTCATATGCTTGAATTTTTGCAACCTGCAAACAAATCAAGATTATTTAACAACAATATAATTTCTAAATCACTTCAACAGTAGTGATGTTCAATAATCTATTTCAACAAGAGAATCAAATAGTCAGACTTTCATTAATGTTTTTGACCTCCTGCTGTAAATGGAGGTAGCATGAAGATTTCCATCTTTTTAATATGTAAGATGTTAAAGAAAAATTAAATTCAGCAAGCCCTTAAGACAAAAAAGATATTAATGTGAAAGAACAATCAAAGTTTTTCAGTAGTCTCAAAGAAAGCATTTAGTCTTTCCATGACTTGCACTGAAGTTTGTACAATGAAATTCTGAATCTTACAGCCAATGAAATTCAATCCAACTTCTTCAAACTTTTTTGTTTTTTAAATAACAACACATTCTAGTAGAACCAGTGCTTCATTTAAGGCATGACAGGTAAGATGCATGGCTTAAAAGAACAGATTTGAAAAGAGATTAAAAGAGCTGCTGACTTCACTTCCTCTGTCAGTAAGAGAAAGCAAAAGAAACTTATGGAAAGACTCCAGTGGCACAACTAAACAAAACTGGCAATCTCACACAAGGTAGGTGGGACGAATGTCATGCCCTGTAAGCCCCTGCTTCTGTTTTTTTCAGGAGCAGGTCTGATAGGGACAGGTAACGGACTGTGTGACATATACTCGTCCCCTCAAATAAACAGCTTGATGAAACCACAGGAAGCCTTCATCAGTTAAATCTGTTAGGAGCTGAAATTCGTAAGATCAAGACCTATAATACTATTTGGGGTATTTTTATGTATATACATTTTTTGCCTCATTTTGTTGCTGCTGCTTAGCCTTTGACATCCCAGTTCAAATAAGAGTTTTGTCTTTGCATGTGTCTAGAACCGTTCTGTGTGCATATGGGAGATCTCAGAGCTCCATCATTTGGGGACCAATTCTGGAACAGCCAGTATTAAAATGCCAAATTAGGACAGATAAATACATGTTCAATACACTTGTATTAGGAAAATCTGGAGGATAAGACAAGATCAACTCTGTAGCATGAAGCACTCCATACTGATTAGCATCCAAGAAAACAGGAAGCTTCCAACAGCTTTCAAACAAGATGCAACAGTTGAAAGGTGTCATACTTCTAATGAACTGCAGAAAAAAAACCTCCTCTTATGATATCCTTCACTTTACAAGTACATATTCCAGGAGCAAACAAGAAATCTGGAACCACAGGTTTAATCCGCACCACAAAAAGTTGCCTTGAGTTGTGTCAGTGACCGCCTAACATAACAAGAGCAGTTAGAAACAGCTGCAAACACACCCAGCTTCACAGAAGAACTAACCAGAATGCGTTGAGTGCCAAGCAGCTAATACTGCTACTGGAATCCAATCTAGCTTGTTTGAAACTAATTCAGGTACTGCTTGGTGGCACTGCAGGAAGCCACTCACACAACTTAAAGTTAGAAGGATAGTTCTACAAGGACAAAGGAAATAGTAGCATCACATTAATACTCACATTAATAAGATACATTAATATATTAATAATAAGCTCCTTAAGCTTATTATCTTAACGCGGCAAAGCAATTACTTTCAAAATGAAATATGAACAGTATTAATACAATCACAGTTTTCTAAGAGCTTTTATTTGTTGGCTCTATCTCAAATATACAGAACATGTACAGCACAATTTATATGTAGGTGCATTATTTAAACATGAGATCCCTATCCATAAACAAAATTCAGTCAGAATGCTTCTATACCGCAAGACTTCTGGATGCGCCATATTCAATCCTAGTTTGGATATGGATATTTTCATAGTACAGAAAATATATTACCTTTACAAGAAAAAGTTTTATAAGAATCCCTTCGAGAAAAAGTAAACATTTATGTAAGCCTCCACTCTGCATCAGCCTGGTCAAAGACCATTACGGCTACCTGCGCCTTCTGGACATAAGACCATTTTCAAAGAGCACCACCGAAACGGTGAAATTCTGAACAAATCCTTCAGCTGTCATAAATATACTTATTTCATAATTAAAAATACAGGAATCTCACATTTGTCAATTACAGCTTGTCAACTTGAATTATATGTAAGCATATAAACCACACAGGACCCTCTAGCATAGATAATTAACAAAGCCCTTATGGTCCGTCGTAAATGAAGTTAAATCATGTTTTTGCAAAACATAATACTCCTGACACACACCAAAGTTTTAACTTTGCAACAACTGCAGTTAGAAAAAAAAATAAAAGGAAAAGTAGCTCTAAAATAGATGTGTAACATCTCTGGAAAGCAAGACCTTACATACTACATCAGTCCAATTCTCAGATACATTGTATGTTCTCACAGAAAGAAGCGTACAATATTTCAGATAAGAACTACTCAACTTTGCAAAGAACATCATTCACACCTCCACCCCGTTTTCCTTAAACCACCAGTTTAAGTAACTCAAAATAATCATTTTAGTAACTCAAAACATTAAAACTTCATAGATTACTTTTAAAACCCCCCTCCTAATTTTATCATACACAGTTAAACATACTTCTGAGGCACTGCTGAAAAATCCCAGTAGAAATTGATTGTCTTACGTAAATCCATAAACATTCTAGAAACATTTGGTCTATTCTGAGCCCCAACTTTCACTGTACCCATGAATGGGAAGTCCTGATTCCATTTTCTGTATTCTACAAATGTTAGCACACAGTCAACATAGTACTCAAAACCTGGCACTTCAGCGCCATGCAGATTTCACAAGTACTGTAACCTACAGTCAAACACCATTTCCAACTATGCTGGAAATTGTCTTTTACTCTATATCCCACTTTTCTATTAAAAATAAACACAGTCTGGATTTTTGTTTTAAAAAGTCCATCTTCTCCAACAACTTAAAAAAGCAAGTATCAAAAAGGAATAAGCAGCAAAAATAGAAGAAATAAACGTATTGTGCTAGTTATGAAGCTCTGACACCTGACAGCCATAGTCTGAGGAACATTAAAAAAAATACTTATATACAGATTTTATATACACATTATGTTTAAGAGCTTAAGAAAACTACTGTAACTATTTTTGCATTTATTTCCTTCACTTCCTTATCTACCTACAGCTCACACAAGTATTTTCAAATGTACTGCTGTGCAACAATCTCCTTTTCCCGTTAGTCTGGCAATAAAATTAGGTCCACACTTTCAACTAAGGTGAACTTTCCATTTGAAAAGTTAGACCTTAATTCCTTGGATAAAACATAGCATATTTTGAAGTTCGAAAGCCAAGTAGGTCTCTCATTTCATTCCGGAATTTTGATAAGTCTTGCCTCAGCTCATTTAGGTTTTCCACAGTTGCCTGATCTGTGCTTTGCATCTTTTGCCTCATGGATGTCAAATAACGGTGAACTAAGCAACACATCACCTTTTGATAATTCTCATCTCTCTTCTGCTTCAGATTTCTCCATTCCTTTAAGAAAAAAAAAATTACACATTTACTAAGCATAAGTAAATGTTGAGCCCAAAAGCCTGTATACAATTATAGAATAAAAAGGAACAAAATAAGGAAGAAATTCTAATAGACAACCTGACGTGCAAAAGTGTACAATGTCAGCAAGCTGTTGGAATTATTTCAATTAAATAATAACCTGTTGTTCTGTCTCAACCAATTTTTAACCTAGTAGATTGGTAACAGTCCCACGAGCGATTTCGAGTTCCATAATCCCTAATGTTTTCAAGTACATTCCACAAAGGCTTGGAATTTATTTTAATACTTTCTTTTTGGCCAGCAAGACACAAAATTACAAGGTACAATAAAGATGCTTAAGAAAAAATACCCTCTATTCCCCAAAATGAGATGTTTCAGTGTTCCTATCTGGTTATTTACTTTCATACTGCTTTAGTAAGTTTAAAAGAAATGACCTTCCTGCAAGCATACTCTGGCCTCACAGAATTCTTGGGACTAGCACATAGTTCTTTGTAGTTTCTGCAAGTTTTCAATCAAAGTACATCTCTAGAGTGCTGCAGGGGGAATTGGGTGGTGGGGTAGAAGGGGTACAAAGAAAAGGGTTGAAATTCCCCAAAATGAAAGTTAATAGAATTTCATTTAGTATAAACGGCTACAACTTACTCTTCCTACTTTGGATGCAACAGACATTATCCTAGCATTCCTCATTATATTAGTAGCATTCGCCATGTGAAAGGCAGTTTCATTCAGCAATTTGCTGATTCATTTGAGTAAGCAGCATCTGTCCATCTTCAGAGCCTACAATTCCCCTCATCATTTCTTACCTTAAGGCTGTTCTGCCGTTTCACTTTGCCACTTGATGTATGAGAGCAAATCCATTTACTGAGACTGTTGAAGAGATAACAGATAGTCTTGGGAGATGGAATCACATTGAAAGGCGGAGGTAGAGTGCACTTGTCATCAAAATAGCTAAGCCAAAGTTTGGCACGAGCAAATTTCCATTCCTTATCTTCATGATTCTACAGCATCAGAAAGATTAACAGAGATCAGAAGCAAAATAGTAAGGAAGAGCACAAAAATATTAAAACGCTAATTCAGCATTTTATTTTTGACAACATCAAAAACTGATTTCTTAAGTTGCACAGTATTTTAACACACAGAATCACAGAATCATTGACAT